CGTTGATACGATGGTCCGATATTAATTTTATTGGTTGACATTAAATACTTCAATTGGTTAGAAACGGTTAACCAATCGAAGTCTTTAAATTCAACCAATAAAATTAATATCGTATTATCGTATCGTCGGACAACGGATGCATGAAAATCAAGCTTAAGCATAAAAGTAAAGCACCTTTACTTACTTTTGAATCTATTTAGAAAGATTAACAATGGTACTTTAATAAAATTCCAGAATACTTATTTTTTTAGCACTGTACATGGTACCCTTTTGTCGGGACTACGTTTTCTGCTAAAACCACTTCTTTAAATTTTAAACCATAATGTTGGCGCACCTTTAAAAATTCTTTGTATTTTTGTAGGCCGCCTTTATCAAAAACAATAACTTTGTCACTAGTAACTTATTTACAAACTACACACCATAAATGTTTTTTATCCATTGTGATTTAGTAGTTAGTAGCGAAATTAGTAGTTACTAAAATATTTATTTGCAGTAATTATTTTAAACTATTTACACTATACACATCAATATTTAATTTATAAATACATATTTGTACCTTGGTAACTTAATTCCAACAAAATAATCTCTGAATTAAAAGCTTGCAAATAATTGAAATGAAACAGAAAAAAAATTGTATTTATGAAAATTTGAAGTACTCCAAAATAGTGTTACGTCAGCCGCATTGGCTGCCGACGGGTCTCAATAAACTATCTTTCTCGCGCTTATAGATACTCATAAGACTTTTTTGTCGCGCTCATTTAAAACCTTTATTCGAGTCAGGCAAGTATTAAAACCCGTTGAATTGGTCTGGCAATTAACACATATTTTTAATATCATCTAATAAACACGCTGTAAAAATTTTAGAATGCCTTAAGTATGTTTTCCAGGTATAATAATTAAACATATTTGGAATGGTCGGGTTACACTTTAAACCCGAAAAAAAAGTCTGGCATACACACTTTAAACCCGAAAAAAAGTCTGGCATACTTATTTCTAGGTGAAATAGATGCTAAAATTTAAGAATAAACAAATTTCAAGTTAAAAGCCTAAAGAATGTTTTTTGGATATATTTTTTTGCAAATGTTATGGGTTGCGCAGTAGCGAAATACCCCCAATCCCCCAGCCAGACTTAGGATTCTGGGTTCACAAGTTATTAAACTTTATTTTTTTTATTATTCTAACTTGCCTAAAATATGTTCTCTAAATATGTCGCCAACTCTCCGGCTATATGAACAGGAGAAGTTCGAAATTCACTGTAGGATGTGTTACACGAAATCAAAAAACCTATGATGCGCATTATGTAAAACTATGAAGATATACTTAGCAGAAAATAAAGGATAACCGGCAATGATCTCATGCATACTATTAAAATTATTAAATATTTACGTATCTAAATAGAACGATAAACGAGCAGTCACCTTAGAGAAGGCAATGGCAAACCACCATATAGTGTCCTTAGTGATAAAGATCCTCAAGCAGCAGAGTACATAATTCATTTCGAGGCTCTGGATCGGAAGCGGTACATTCTATTTGGAAAAGCAAGGCTAGAACCGGAGGAACTATGCTCCCATTCTATCCAGGACCTGCGCAAGCTTGTGTAGTACAGGGTTAAGAAACTGGATGCAGACATAGAAAGAATTCAAACACAATAGGCCTTACAAGTCGCAGTGTTTTCCTGTATAATACCGCTCTTTAATAAGAATGAAGAAAAAAGTGGGCATCCAGCAGAATTTGTGCAGGACCCAAAAAATGGGGGGTTAAGGAAAATGTGTTATAACCTGGGACCTATGATCAAGTGAACTGCAGTTGTTGGTGATAGAAAGCTAATCAAATAATAAAACAACCAAGTTGTCGAAACAGCGACGTTAAGCATGCACAACGGTGACTGATGTCATTCACAAGTATACGATGACAGAGAAAAACGAATGTGTCTCTCTGATCTTAATAGATGGAATCATGTCATTTGTGAAAGGAAAACTGGTCTTTAATGTTCGTCAAAACGTATGGGATATAACTCCTCTACAGATAGGTAGGAATAAAAGCGTTCTAGTAATGAAAGCACAGTTTCAAAAAACTAAACTGTTGTTGTGCGCCTTTTATCTGTAACATTTTTATATCAGTAGGATTGTTTTTGTAGTCAATTGCAACAACTTATAAGCAATACATAGCGAGAGGTACTGTGTTCGATCCCCAGTCAGTACGGTCGCTTTATTTATTTAAATAAAAATATTTATTTATCTAAATAGAGTGGCGTGCGGTGAAATTTATACAAGGGGAAGCGATTCGATAAAGTTAATAAAAAAAGTCGAAAAATATGTTTAACAGATCACATATAAACTACTACCTAGATTCATATTAGTTCTTCTTTCTCAGCCTGGTTCCATCCAGTATTGGATATAGGCCTCTTCTAGGTTTTTCCACGCTTCGCGATCTCTAGCCAATCTTATCCATTGTCTTCCCGCCACTCCCCTGACGTCATCGACCCATCTCTTTTTTGGTCGGCCCACACTTCTTGTTGTTCCCCTAGGTCTCCATAGGATTGCTTTTTGGGGCCATCGGTCTGGATCCTGTCTTGCCACATGTCCTATCCATTGCCACTTCAGACTTGCCACTCTTTTAACGATATCTATTAATTTTGTTTTTTGACGTATGTGGGTATTCCGTATTTTTTCCCTAATGGTGACTCCTAACATGATTCTTTCCATGGCTCTTTGTGCTACTCGTAGTTGTTCTGCTGTTTTTCGGGTAATTGCCATAGTCTCTAAACCATACGTAAGCACAGGTAGAATGCAGCTGTCGTAAGCCTTTTTCTTTAGGTTCATGGGCACCTTTTTATCCTTGAAAATATCGCTCATATTTCCAAATGCTACCCATTCCAAATGGATCCTGCGTTTGATCTCCGTATTTTAGTTTTTCTTGCCCAGCTTGATTTTATGACCTAAATATATATAATGGTCTACGTTTTCAATAATACGTTGTCAACGGTAATGTTATGGATATTGTTGCTCATTATCTTGGTCTCCTTCAAGTTCATTTTAAGGCCAATTTTCTGGGATTGGTCATTTATTTCATTTAGCATGGTGTTCAGTTCTTGAATGTCGGTGCTCAGCAAGACAATATCGTTTTACTTCTATGAATTATTAATTAAAAAGCTTGATCTCAACGTATAGGGAAGCGCCGGCGCCGCTTCCCCCGCTTCCATGGACCGCACGCGCCTACTAAATAGAGTGATCAGCGAGCCGTCACACCAAGGAAGGCAATGGCAAACCACCTTAAGAGTCTATTACGCTGTACTATTCGGGTCGTTCTCAGGGGTCGGGTAAAGCGGGTGTGTGGCCGTAGGAAATATATATCACATTTCAGAAATCTGCCTGAGGTTTAGCCCGATCCTGTCGTATTAAGCCATACCCTAAATTCCAAACACACATGCTTGATTAAGGCTGGATTAAGGTTTGCAGAGCTTCAGGATTTGCCATAAAATAGTAACACTGTAATCACAAAACTTCAATCTATTTCTGTATTGTCACGTAATTTTAAGTTATGGCTTTATTTTCGAGAGAATTTAGTCCAAACATAAGGAATATTTTGTTGATGTTTGACCATCAAAATCTTAAAAATAAAAAAGTTGTCTAAAAACGTGTTACAATATGGATATAGTATAATCCTTTATCTTTAATTTCCTTCCTCATTTGTGTAAAAATACCTAGCCAGTTTTACATAAAACGTTAAGTGCCGAACGCTTATTTTGCTACTTTTTCGGACTAGTGAAATGAGTTCTTAAGTATATTTGCCTTGTACAGCCTCTCAAATAGAGCCGTTCAGATTCGGCGATAAACTGTAGGTCCCGGGTACTTGTGAAACTCTGATGACATACATCAGAAGTACATACGGGAGGTAGCCTACGGTCTTTATAGAGTATGGCACTGTAAGAAGAAGATCAGCCTGTTCTGAACTCTAGATTACATTCTTCAGTCCTGTCTTTTTCAAGGTTTTGACACTATATCCTTATTTCCAAAAAAATCCTATATGGGTATTTTGCCACTGCAAGAAAATCTACAAATTAAAATAGTTATTTTTTGTAAACACTGCTGCGTTAATCCAACGGAAACTACTTGTACTTTTTTTAATATCCTTCTTGATATCCTTCTTGAACAAATCGAATTGTTAAAATATCAATTCAAATTCAAATGTGTCAATTCAAACCTCAAACAAAACTGTCAGAAATGGGGAGTTATGATGTCGATTCCGCCACTAATGCATGAATATATAATAGTTATTTACAGTACAAGTGTGTTTATGAACATGATTACAACGAGTGTGAACGATTAGAACGACGAGGTCGTAGACCGAGTCGTTCTAATCACACGAGTTTTGTAATCATGTCTAAACGCACGTGTCATGTACAACGTTTTATCTACAACCGAAAAATAAGAAAATGCTGTTTTAATTTTCGTTTATTAGTCGCCCACCTTTAACACCTTTAACTATGGCATAACTATGACATTTGTCACATTTTTTCTGAAAAGTCAGTTTGCCCTGTCAAGTAAACGCGAGCAGCTGTTGCCCAGAAAAATCATTTTAAAAAATACGATGAGCGATTCCGAAAGTCTCCCTTCAGATGTAGAAGTTGCCGCATTACGTGCCACGGAATCATTATTGCCGGAAAAGTTAATATATTTAGATGTTCGTAGTTGTTTTTCATTATTGTAGCAACGAGTTGTGTTATAGATTCATAACACCAGTAGTTGTGTTATGAATCTCATAACGTAACTGAAATACTAAAAAAATAGTGATGTAAAAACGTTATAACTAAACGGTTGTAGATAAATAATATTACACACCTTTTTTAATATTTTTATTCAAAGAATGTATAAGAATTTTAATACCTGCTCTGGAGTAAACTTCAAAACCGAACATCCACCTGAGATATTAAACCACCAAACTTCACAACCCGACATAAAAAAAGAATAATCTAACACAGACCTTATTAAATATTCCAGGTTGAAAGAGAACACGACCTCCAGCCACCAGATACCTCAGCCCCAAGTGCAGAAACCGCAGCCGGAGCCGCGGAAGGGCGCCGCCCTAAATCAAACCGTGGGCATCCCCGAGCGCCACATGCGGTACTCGCTGATCAAGACGAAGCCGGGCGACCACATCATCCAGCAGGTCAGCAGCAAGCCGTACCAGGTGGCCGCCCCGGTCGAACACAAGAACTTGAAGCCGGAACAAGCGTTCGGGTTCCTCAGCCAGAGGGGGTACGCGGAGAGAGCTAGTACTAGGTGAGTAGTTTTGCTTAAAAGGTTTTAAAGCTTCCTTTAGTGGTAAAAAAAATCAAAATAAACTAACGTGCATAGAAATCGGCCCACTGTGAACTTTTGGTTTTAACTGTGTCTTTTAGAATCTATTTATCGGAGCAAATAAAAAATATGAGCTGTTTCAAAGACAATTTAACATGCTTTAATATGAGCATAAATTTATCCAGACTACTTATCGTTTATATGCGTTGCAACGGGTAAAGAAATGAAAGGTATTTGTGTTGTGGTGACAATAAGAATAACAAACTTGTGAAATATTGCAATTATTACCTTTGTAATCGAAATTTTCACATTGTTCTTTTATTCTTTGATTAGTTGTGTTTCATTGTTTGAATAGTGTTTCAATTTAATGCATACATTAACGGAAAAAGCCGCCCAAGTAATCGCTTTAATCGAAAATGGACTTAAACAGAGAGCTGTAGCTCGGCAACTACATATGAATATGACACGAAGAGCGGTTCGAAGAGTGTGTGAACGATATGAGGAGACTCGATCCTTTCATAGGCGACCTGGAACTGGTAGAAAGAGATATACAACGGATCATGATGACCGCTTTATTGTGTTAACAATGTTAAGAAATCGGCGTCTTAATGCTATTCAGGCGCAACAACAGCTCCGTGAAACACGAGGACTGACTATTCGTCAGTGGACAGTAAGTCGAAGATTGAAGGAAAGTAACATGACCCCCAAGCTCATCGTCAAGCACACCTACGTTTTGCACAGGAACATCTGAATTGGACACTAGAACAATGGGAATCTGTTTTATTCTCAGATGAGACCAGGATATGCTCTATGGTAGCGACCGAAGAAGAAAAGTGTACCGGAGGCCAGGTGAGCGATTCTCAGAATGCTGCATTGAGGAGCGGATTGCTTATGGAGGTGATTCCTACATGATCTGGGGTGCAATTTCTATAACTGCGCGAATCGACCAAGTTTTCATCCGTTGGGGTGACCGTCGGCACGGGAGAGGAGGTTTAACTGGTGCTAGGTATATTGAGGAGATTTTAGCAGTTCATGTGGTACCTTACGTCGACTACATTGGAAACGAATTCACTTTTATGCATGACAATGTGAGGGCACACACATCAATAATCGTACACGATTACATTTCAGAAGTCGGATTTCGGGTTATGGAATGGCCAACATGCAATCCAGACTTAAACCCGATAGAACATTTATGGGATGAGCTAAAACAAAGAATTCGTGCTAGACGAAGACACCCAACTTCTATCCCAGAGCTCATTGTTGCAGTAGAGGAAGAGTAGCTTAACATCCCGCAGGAAACAATATCAAAATTGATCGAATCTATGCCAAATCGTATGAGAGATGTTGTTAGAGCAAGAGGAGGTCATACCCATTATTGAAAATTTAGTTTAGTTAATTGTCCATAAATAAATAAATAAATAATAACATACCTCTTAGTAATAAAAAACGATAATTTGTTTCATGCATTAATTTAATAATTTTAATCCAAAGAAACCAAAATACAAATTAATATCTCTAAACTCTTTTCAAAGAATATGAAATTGTCTTTCAAACAGCATACATCTTTTCTTAATCTGACAAATAGATTCTAAAAAATATATAGTTAACTTCAAAAGTTTGCCTTGGGCCGATTTCTATGCATGCAAGTGTAGATTCGTTACGAAAAAGTAAAAAGTACGTCGCTACAGAAACCATAAAATATTAAGAAATAATAAATTGAAGGTGGAAGTACCAAAAGGTCGAAATAAAAAAACAACTTTAGAAAGGAACATATTTTATTTTTTCTATAATAAACTTGTTAAAATGGTTCCTGCCCCCTAGAAATAATTTCGAAGTAAAACTGAAAAGGCATAAGTTCTAAACTATTATTTTTCATAGTTTAGATAAATCAAAAGTTTATAAGTACCAACTAGAAGTGAGTTGAACTGCTGCTAGACTACAACATTTCCTCTAATTTTTCACATTCGCCTAATTTAAGAAACTCTATAAAATAATTTGTTTTCTGGATTTTCCAAATAAGAATGGAGGAAAAATATTTTTTATTAGTAGTAATCTTATTCTCAGGGGGTAAAAGGTTTATTTCTGCAAAATTTAGATCTCCAGTGGTTTTACCTGTCTTCAAAATATTCTTTTTTTGGGTCTCTAACTCGAAAAACAAAAAAGCTTACAATTATTAACCACACATTCGCTCTTATTACCCATTCAAAATAAAAACTTTTCAAACATAAGTTCTCAGCGCCACGTAGCTGTAATTTATTACAGTAAAGCTCTTGCTTAGGAATAATATAATAAGCTTTAGCTTAAGAATAAAATTGCACTTATAACTTGTATGGGTTCGTTGGCAATGGCACTTAAAATTTCGTCCAACAACATCCAAAAAAATGATAGAAAATAAAATTTACCTGTAAATAAAAAAAAAATCAGCAACTGTCACTGTATGAATCTGTTTTTTTTTTCTCATATTACTACAGAATGTCAATAACGCACAATATATAATATCAATAGTTTCATAAATTACTTTCATTATTAAGCCCATCTCAAATTATATAAAAAGTAGAGTATTTTCTAACTTTCCATTATTTTTTAGGTATCCTCCTAGTCAAAAATTAGTCTTGAACGGTAACATAGCTATAAGTCAAAAAGTAAATGGGCTAGCTGACCAACATCACTCTGAACAACTCAAACCTATACACAGAGACGATTTTAAGAAGCAACCAATATCACCACCATCAAAGTCAGATATTCATAAGTAAGTAGATTTTCTTATTAATAAAAAACTATTTTTTTAATAATGTTAAAACCTCAAGTACTATTTTAGATTTCAAGCATTGAAAGATTTTAAGCATTAAAAAGATTTCTTTGCACATAAGCGGTTAGTTAAGTTAATCCCTATTGTAATTTTCTATTGAAATAAAGATTATTATTTAAACTTACATTTAATTAATATCATAAGACTATAAAACTTAAAAAATAAGGGTAGTTTGCTAAATAACCTTTCTGTCGATAAGAATAAGTTGAAATTTAATAGGAATATTACTATAGTGAAAACACATTATCTGTATATTTCTTCACTTTTTTATAATGCGTGAAGGAAGTGAAACAGACCACCTCTATTATTCTTGTTAATATTTTTGTGCCGCAATATCTCCCTAAAGTTTGACCAAAGAGCATACCCAACACTTATACAGAGAAGACCAGGCTACTAGTAACATAGCAAGTTGCCGGACGAATTTACGTTTACCCGTTTTGCGTTCGTACTCGAGATTCACTGCCGACTAGTCGGCTGGTCAGGCAGTACGCAGTTGCAGTTGTGCTTGGACGGGTCGGTTATGACAGACTAGGAATACGACTCGAGGAGTGCCGAGTATTTATTATTTTCATTTTAAATGTTTACCTTCACTAAAGGTAACATTTAAAATGAAAATACTTAAATATTAATTATCTGAGTGTGTTTACAAGCCAAAACTAAAAATAAATAAGTTCTCTCTCTAATAAAATATTACTCTAAATAAAAAAAAGTTATAACAAGTGTTCAAAAAGACCATCTTCTTTTGCTAGACAGAAGCCTAGGCGGTCGTAAAATCCCCGTCTGACATTGGCTAACATATTAGGGCTAACAGTTTGGAAAGCCTCCCGTATTTTTACTTGAAGCTCATCCAGATTATTAGCCCTATTATGACCATACATTTTGGATTTTACATAACCCCACAAAAATAAGTCATTGGGAGAAAGATCTGGTGATCTAACGGGCCACAAAATAGTTCCATATCCACTAATTAAACGGTTGGGAAAAGTATTGTTCAAATATTCGTGAACAATACGGGCATTGTGGGCAGGACAACCACCTCACAATTTGATTACTTGAAAACGTGGGATTTTGATCCGCGGTAGCACAAATTTGCTTTAACTCCTGTTCTTCATTAATCAACACATCAGGCTTTTTTTGTTTTTGTGGGAACACGAACCCATGTGTTTCCCAAAATTATTAATAACTCTTGATACAGTAGGTAAAGCTGGAATTGGCCTGTCTACATAAGTTTGTGGAAAAATTGTTTGTATATCCCGATAAGACCTATTTTGGAAATACCATTTTACAATTTGAATTTTCTCACGAACTTCGTAAACATCCATTATTGTACCTTAAAAAATAAATTTTACACGAGAACTGTCGCGAGAATCTATGTATTCGTTTTGGCTATTAAAACACGAATAAATACAAATTCTGAAAACATTCTTATCACATATCTACCTATTTTTATTTTATCGCATTTTTTTGCCTGCTTTTTATCCGGCGAACGGGTATACGCTAATTCGTCCGGATCTGCCTATGTTACTACTACGGTGGTCCGGTCTGTATAACAAACATTCATTAAAGTTTTTCGGTTATTTTGATACCTTTTCTGTACTTATCATTTGAAGGGTCCGGGGGAAAACTTGATATGCGCCAATTTCTTAATTTTAGGATTTTACAATATTATAGTAGGTTTAACTGGTCCCTACATAATGTATAAAGTTTGCAGGGCAATAGTTGTTAAAACCTATGATATATGCCTAGTAAAAATATAGAATACACGGAAAGAACCTGATAACCACTTGCCGTCCAGGACTCTCCTGTAAAATTAGTAAAATGGCGCTTATCATGTTTTTCTCCTGGACCCTTCATTTTTAACCTAGTATACCTTTGATATAGTTTACTTTTAAAATCAAGAGAAGTTGATTGTATTGAATTTTCTTTTGTTTATAATTAATTCTAAATATATTTTATTGTATATTGGATACCTTCCAACAAACATTTTTTATCATTATGCGAAACGAATTTAAATATGGTCAAAGAATTAATCATTATTTAATTTTTTGTTTGGTATGACGGGAGTGATAACAGCCGCAAACCAACTATTTCAATTATTTTCGATAACTCCATATTTTTTCTAATAATTTAAATACATAAATATATGTATCGCTATTAAAAACTATAGCTATATGAAGCACTAATGTAATGTCTGTTATAGGCAACAGAGGGCCTCAATTGCCGAAAGTCCTGTGAAGGAAACACCCCCACCGCTACAGCCCAGACACATGAGAATCAACCAGAGCATGAGAGTCAAAATGCCACACGATCACAGATCCAGAATGTCACCACCAAAAGAAGGCGTCAGAGAGACCCGATCGGCATCAATGTAAGTACAATTTATTTTTGGTGAAAATTGATATATTATAATGCAATGTATATCTCGCAAGCGATAGCCTAGTTAGAATTAGACATATTGACGATATTTTCTGTATACTTCTGCAAAATGGCTGCCTGTTTTCAGTCGTCTTACAAAATGCCAAATCGAGGCCAGACAGATTAAAACATGATCAAAATTTACTCAGCTATGAGCATAAGCATATTGAATAATTTACGCTTTAATAAAAATACCCCTATACAAAAACAATAATTTATGTCAAAATTTTATTTTGTTTAGACGAAAACAACTTGAACACGATTTCATAAATTATAATTTATAAATAACATAATTTTAAATACAAAATATATTAAAATCTTAATATTAATTAATATTAATTTTACTAATCCCGCGTAAAATATTTTGTGCAATATGACTAATCTTCATTAGGCATTTTGTAAAGCGACTGAAAACAAATAGGCTCTTTGCAAAATATCCTTCTATTGTTAAAAACGCCGCCGTTTTATAATAAAGCTAGTCTTTTTGCAAAATACGGAGTTATTCCATACGCCGGCGACATACATGTACCGTATGATCGAATAAAAACGGCGTCCAGTTGGCTTGGAAATGACGATCGATAGCATTTCCTATATAAATTTACATATAAAATGACAGCGATCTTCATTTCATAGCCATCGCTGACGCCATTTTTATTCGATCATACGGTATATCATAATGCGCTCGATACGACCCTGTCTTGTTTCTGCCGTCGCTATGGCAACAAAAGCGGAATATTGTCGCACGCGCCACCTAGAGCTCGAGAAGCGGGTCGTGCCTTTGGAATTAAATGAGTTGCCTATACTCCACTTACTGCTGAGATGCATTTGTTATTTTTTTATTATTCGTTATTAATTGTTTTTTATTTAACACATAATCGGAATTTACTAATAAAATAATATATGAAGCATTTTACACATCTCACTCAACAAAAATATTTTCTTTAACAAGTGATCTTTATATAAAATAAGATTAAATTTATATATGTATAATAAATTCAGTTTTTTTTATTAAGTTAAGAAATATCCTTATATTGTTATATCCGATTTGCTACTTCATTATAATTATTTATTGTGTTTTTTGGATTATTTGTTTAGATATTTATTATTATTTCTCAACTTGTTTATAATAAATTTATTATTGAATAATATCGATATATCTACCAATTTAAAGTTAAACTGTCGAGGACACGGCGTAAAAGTATTTTTAGCCCGAAACAATGTAAATTTTAACCGCAAAAGGAGTAAGTATTTTTTGTTTGAGCGTACTTTATTATCATAATACCTTTGGATATGATGGCCCCTTTACTTTTCATCATTTTCGAATTTTTCCTATTCAATATACTTTTCTCTTTTCTTTAAAATATATTTTTTTAAATGCTGTGCGTCTGATTCAATTAAAATTATCATTAAATACTACTAATAAGTTTATAATAACAAGCATTTGATTTAGAAAAAATCTCTCCAAAAAATCTTATATGGGTATTGCGCCACTGCAAGAAAATCTAGTTAAAATCTAAATAAAATAGTTATTTTTTGTGAAGACTTCTGCTTTAACCCAAATGGAAACTACTTGTCAGAAGTTAAGTTTACAGATATACAAATTTGCCTAACGAACAAATAAATGCTTAACGTTTCGGAAAGTTTATCTCTTTCCGTCGTCGGAAGCAAAAAAAATACAAAGAGTAAAGAAAAAAACTATTTACATAGTTTTTTTAAGCATTTTTTTGTTCTTTATACAAATTTGTATATCTTTAAACTTAACTTCTGGCAAGTAGTTTCCGTTTGGGTTAACGCAGAAGTGTTTACAAAAAATAACTATTTTATTTTGTAGATTTTCTTGCAGTGGCGAAATACCCATATAGGATTTTTTGGAGAGATGAATCCGCCACATTTTTAAAAGTGATAAACCCCAATGTGATTAATACTTCGTTGTTTTATATTATTCACCAATCCTCTAATTTAAATCACTTTAACGTCTGAACAAACAGGCTCAGACATGCCAGGTGACATCCTTTTAATGGCCATCGACGATAAAAATCTAACGGCGCGTCGTTCATAATTCATAGCTCCATTAGCTGACAAAAGGGTTATCGTACTAGCATTTATCACCATACCTGGACTTCTGTCAAGGTTGCACGTTATCTTAGTAGGTGGTACCAAAATAAGAAGTTTTTTTAATTTAAAGGAGGAGGAAAAATTACTGAGAAAAATTAGTGACTTATTATCACCAAAATAATGATTTCAAAATTCGGATACATATCTAAGCTTAAAAGCTTTGAAATACAGACAACAATAATTCATGTATCCTATAGTTCGACAGACTATTATAAAGTCATTCTAGGATTACTTAGTAACTTATAAATGAAACTTAAAAACTGAATTGGTAACGTTATTTTGAAAACCTCGTAATTTCAATTTTTGGCAAAAATCGTTGAATAAAAATATTAAGAAAGGACTATAAAGCTATCCATATATTCATGTATGGGGGACGAAGGTGGGGACCTCGGGTGGGAATCCTTAACAGTTCTGTTTGACGATTTGACACATTTGAAACTTTGTGGATTTATCTGTCTCTACTGAGCTTATTTTATGTTATTTATTATTTATTCCACAACTGGTAGTTGTTGAGAAGTAGTAAGTCTAGAAGGATTTTTTTATGGCAGAACTTAAATTAACAGTGACACTATTACGATTTATCAAAAAAAGACTAAAATTATAATAATTGATTGTGTAGCGTTGTAGCATTTTCATTTTCCAAATGCTACTTTGTTTTATTATAGACGGTATTTTATTATTGTATCGATATTCTTTTTACATTTCTACAACACTTAAATTTCGGAACGCTCTCTATCGAAAATATTGGATCGTACCCTGGTGTATTGACAAGACGGGAAACGTCAAAATCGTCACCTCGGATTTGGCCGTTACCGAGGTCACTGTGCCATTTTTCAATAAAATTTATTTGGCTGCTATTTTTCACAATATGGGAAAAATATTGTGATTTTGTTATCCTATAGATGGTTGAAGGTCCCATATAGATTTTGATTGTTGAGATTTTAATGGATCTATAGTTTTGATAAGATTTTCTTTGACATTCCATTCGTTAGAAAAAACCTTCACATGCCTGTTTTTTTTGATGAGAAGTGTCCAGCCCTTATTTGAGAAGAAATGTTAAATAATTATTGATTGTGTGCCTTCACAATGAGGTAAATAACGTTTTTTAAATGTAAGGTTAACTTATACCGTGCATTTCTTTTTAGGTTTTTCTACAGATTTTTCTACGTATTTTTCTATAGATTTTTCTACGTATTTTTCTACGTATTTTTCTACGTATTTTTCTACGTTTTTCTACGTATTTTTCTCAACGTTTTTCTTTGGATTTTTCTTCAAGTATTTCTAGACATTTCTCTAGATGTTTTTCTGCAAGTTGTTCTGCATATTTTTCAGAAGTTTGTGCCAATTTTTTCCACAAGTTTTTCTTCGAGATTTTCAATCACCGAGTTAGTCAGTAGTAGCCTGTTCGGTTAGATTTCAGCCCTGTACCCCTCTGAGAAGAAGTTGGATGCTGTGATGTTTTTTTATCATTAAGAAGATCCTTTTTTAGTATAATTTGGTATACAAGGCCAGTATATTTTTTATAGTAAACTAAAATTTTATTATTGGATTTTAAATAATCATTAGTGTGTTAAGAAATTAACTATTCTTAACATTTTACATTTAACCGGTTAAGTACTTGCCTTCAGCAATACTTTAACCTTTAATTTATAAAATTTAACGTTTTGTTAAATTTTATATTTTTTAACGCTTTAAGTATTTGCCTTAAGTATTTGCTTTAAGTTTTCAGCATTGCTTAAATTTTACCTGTATTTGATTATTAAAATAATCATGTTATATTGATTGATTATTCATAATTAACATCTATTTATGTTAACCTTTTATATCATTACGATCTTTGACCTGTAAGGGCAATCTTGGATACAGCTTTTAAACTTTTTCCCTTAACTATATATAAACAAAAAGATTCATGAATCTTCCTAATAAGTCAATTGAAATTTAGATATTTAATATTCGAATAAAACCAAGACCGTCTCTAAAAGTATGCTTTTTATATTATAATTGTTTGAATAATATCTGCAAAGACATAATTTGATTTTAAACAAGTTTTAAGATAGAGTTTCTTAAATATAATTCTTGTATATTAATGTACATAACTTCTGTGCCGAATAGGTACCGAATATTTCTAACAAGTAATAAATCTTATTTTTTGGGGTATTTGAATTGTTTCATTGGTTGATCCAGTTTCTCAAAATATTTACTAGCTGTACTAATTTTAGTTTCCATTCAATTAATACACTTGTACAAATTTTCTTATTTCAGTTTGTACTATCCTTTGTAAAGTATCAGCATCTTTTTGAAATAAGTGGCGCCGTTTGGTATGCAGTGTAAGGTATAGGTGGGTATCATATTTTTAGTCAAGTGCAGAAGCAAAAGCTTGTTCCCACTGCCTCCGATATAAGAGTAGCCGTTCGCAATATTTTGACTTAAATTTTCAATAAAAGGAAAGTTTTGGTCACAGCGTGCGGTAGATCTCGGTCCAAAATCGAGGGAAATAATGGAATAACTTTTTACTCGTAAGTGACTATAATATGTAGTAAACCGATCAATTATGAAATTTACTTAAAATTAAAATTAACTAATTATATATGTTTTATTGCATTTTTTTTTGTTTACTAATTGTCAAAGATTAGATGTCAAAGACTTTAGACATGTCAACTTCAATAGCGTATCTGATGTTTGTGTTGTTAAATAAATATTATAACTTATCTATTTTTATTAGAATTATATATTTTTATAACTACCAATATTTATTGACAAAGTTGAATAAAACAACGAATTATTGAGTCTAGCCTACATCATATTTTTACACGTTTTGTATAAAATTAGAACGGCACA